ACTTCAATACAGTGGTCAGAATTTAGCAATTTTGCCAATTTCACACAAATTTCAAAAGATGCCAATTTCTGTATTGGATCCAGAATAAACAAGAAAGACATTTCTGGCACTAAAATAACATTTCCTCTGTTCATTAGTCACGTCCCCACGCTCCTCTTACATTCTTTTGCTTTCCACTTTGAATTTTTATTCTCACAAAAAAATAGAAGATTTTCTGTTATGCAGACTACTGCATTAGTGTAGAAATGGTATAAATAATATCGGCGCACTTGTGAAAGAATATTAGACTCACCAGTTGACGTGTATTGGACGCTTAGCATAATTTGTTTACTTTTGAACTTTGGTAAAAATCAAACATTTTTGCTACTTTGAGCTCAATTTCAAGGTAGTTTTCTTTGTAAAACCAGTCAAAATCATCTCAATTTCTGTAATATGTCTTCCATTCTATAAAATGAGACCAGGAAAACTAGAATACCTGGAGTTTACCTGGAGAGAGTTCCGGGGGTCAACGCCCCCGCGGCCCGGTCTGTGACCAGGCCTCCTGGTGGATCAGAGCCTGATCAACCAGGCTGTTGCTGCTGGCTGCACGCAAGCCAACGTACGAGCTACAGCCCGGCTGGTCAGGAACCGACTTTAGGTGCTTGTCCAGTGCCAGCTTGAAGACTGCCAGGGGTCTGTTGGTAATCCCCCTTATGTATGCTGGGAGGCAGTTGAACAGTCTCGGACCCCTGACACTTATTGTATGGTCTCTTAATGTGCTAGTGACACCCCTGCTTTTCATTGGGGGGATGTTGCCTCGTCTGCCAAGTCTTTTGCTTTCGTAGTGAGTGATTTTCGTGTGCAAGTTCGGTACTAGTCTCTCTAGGATTTTCCAGGTGTATACAACAGTAAATACCATATGAAAATACAGTGCAAAGTCGCTTTTTTAATCCAAAAACACGGTCAAAGTTTTTTTTTCTCATTATGCACTGTGTGCTGCAGGATTTTTTTATACCACCCACACTGACCACATAGACCCATTCTTTCATATGTAGGCCTACCAGCTTTCTCTCACTAGATTTGAGGGAGGTAGAATTTAGGCGTACTAGTATGTCAAAAACCCTGGTGCGTAAGCCGTACTAGTACGGCCGAAACCCTGAAAGGATTAAAGCTAAAATAAAGGAGAAAATATATAAGGGATTAAACTAAGTAATGGTAAACAAAGTTAAATGGACAGATAGTCACTATGATATAATATTGATTTGGGAGTAAGATCTGATTTGTAATATATAATAAGTTGAGCAATTAATTGCACTATAAAAAGTAAAAGAAAATATGAGGTAGTTGGTACTAGCTTGCAAATGATAGTTTTGGGAATTGCTAAATAATGTAATTGGAATATACACTGATTGCACACACAATATAAAAGGGACTAAAATAAGTAGTGGTAAACAAAATTAAATGGACAGGTAGCAACCATGAATAACATTAATTTAGGAGTAAGATTTGACTTGCAATACAAAATTATGAGCAATTAATAGCAATTAAAAGGAAGTAAAAAGTATTTGATGTAGCTGGTATTAACTAGTTAATAAAAATAAAAATGCACAATAATGGAATGGGAACGTACACTATATGCACCACAAATATATATGTGTTAAGGACATTTTTCTAATCTGTTACAGAAATGTCAGCTTTTCTAACCCTTTCAAGGTCGACAGGCCCTCTCCCAGACTTGTTCTCAGGGTTGACAAATTTTCAAAAAAAAAAATTATTTTTTCATATGAAAAGATAGAGAATCTTTTCCAGATCATAATGACACCAAAAGTATGAAATTTGATGGAAAACTTATGGAATTATGCTCTTGCTAAGTTAGCAGTCTTGACGATGTTTACGCATTGGCGATTTTGCCCACTTTGAGCCCTATTTTCGGCCAATTCCAGTGTACTAGTCGACAAAAATCATAATTATTTTCGAGAACTCCATTTTTTCTATCGAATGAGTACAAGAAACCATCCATTTACCAATTTCAACTATCCAATAAAGTGGTCAGAATTTAGCAATTTTGTCAATTTCACACAGATTTCAAAAGATGCCAATTTCCAAATAGGGTCCAGAATAAGCAAGAAAGACATTCCTGGCACTAAAATAACATTTCCTCTGTTCATTAGTCACGTCACCAGGCCCCTCTTACATTCTTTTGCTTTCCACTTTGAATTTTTATTCTCACAAAAAATAGAAGATTTACTGTTATGTAGACTACTGCATTAGTATAGAAATGGTATAAATCATATCAGCGCACTTGTGAAAAAATATTAGACTCACCAGTTGACGTGTATTGGACGCATAGCATGATTTGTTTACTTTTGAACTTTGGCAAAAATCGAAGATTTCTGCTACTTTGAGCTCAATTTCAAGGTACTTTTCATTGAAAAACCAATCAAAATCGTCTCAATTTCTGTAATATGTCTTCCATTCTATAAAATGAGACCAGGAAAGCTAGAATACCATCACAAATACCATACGAAAATACAGTGCAAAGTCACTGTTTTAAACCAAAAATACTGTCAAAGTTTTTTTTCTCATTACGTACTGTGTGCTGCAGGATTTTTTTATATTGTGCACACTGACCACATAGACCCATTCTTTCATATGTAGGCCTACCAGCTTTCTCTCACTAGATTTGAGGGCGCTAGAATTTAGGCGTACTAGTACATCAAAAACCCTAGTGCGTAAGCTGTACTAGTACGTCAGAAACCCTAAAAGGGCTAAGGAAGGTAGAGAAATCATGTTCATTTGAGATGGTGTATTGTTGTCCTGTTGATGTTTTCCTAACTAGTATTTTCCCATCTCGAGTGAATTACTGATGTATTTTGTTTTCCTGTTTAAGTTTTCTCAACCTGAACAGAAAGTTTTGACGTTTTGTCATTAGACATTCGTTGATTTACACTACAGTTGATCTAATATGACATAATAAACATTATAAATAACATAAAACATGTTAAATACCCCAGAATAAATAATATTTGGCATAATACCGAGCAGTTCAACAGAGGTATGAAGAGGATATGGGATACAAGTACAGGTACCATCCGACTTATGACTGAGTTCGGTTTCGAGAAACCTGTCGTAAGTCGAAATAGACGTAAGTCGAACCTTACTACTGAATGTTGCTAAATTCTGACCACTGTACTGGATAGTTGAAATTGGTAAATGGGTGGTTTCTTGCACTCATTCGATAGGGAAAATGGAGTTCTAGTGAAATATTCATGTTTTTTGTCGACTAGTACAATGGAATTGGCCGAAAATGGGGCTCAAAGTGGGCAAAATCGCCGATGCGTAAACATCGCCGAGACCGCTAACTTCGCAAGAGCATGATTCCATAAGTTTTCCATTAAATTTCATACTTTTGGTGTCATTATGATCGGGAAAAGATTCTCTGTCTTTTCATAAGAAATTTTTTTTTTTTTTTTTTTAAATTTGACCGACCCTGAGAACAAGTCTCGGAGAGGGCCTGTCGACCCTCAAAGGGTTAATACCTGATACCTGTATGAACTTTGGGTATCTAAATATTATGGGTATCTAAATAATATGGGTTTGAGTAGTTGTGATGCATTTGATAGGTCATTGATGTAAATGAGAAAGAGGAGAGTGGCCAAGAACACTTCCTTGTGGGACCCCCAACTGTAATTGGTTGTGTGGAAGAGTTAGCTCTATTTGTGTATACATATTGGCTTCTGTTACTAAGGTATGACTTTAGGTAGTTAAGGGAGTGCCATAGTGTGTTAATTTGAAGTGCAGCAAATCATGGTCGACTGTATCAAAAGCTTTACTTAAATCAATGAAGATTCCCAGCGGGACTTCTTTCTTCTCAAGAGCAGTGTATATTAGTTCTAGCATGTGTATAATAGTATCATTTGTACTTTTATTAGTCCTGAATCCAAACTGAAAGGGGTTGAGTATGTCTTGAGAGACGCGGTAGGAAACAATCTACCTATGAATTCATTTTTCAGAGATTTTAGAGAGCAGAGGTAAGTTAGATATTGGCCTATAGTTATTCAGGTCTGTTTGATCTCCTCCTTTGTTTATCAGGGTTATCCTCGCTATTTTGAGAATTGATGGGAAGGTGGAGAATTGGCCCATTCTATACTGTTTTTCATATAGGTGCTTTGTGTTAATGGATTTAAGGATGCTGTTGTTAATTAAATTAGTTAATATAACAATGGAAACTTTTACAAAAAAAAAAAATTCTGCTACGAGACATTTCATTCGATATTGAGAAAGATAATTGTCTTATCTTCCAGGTATGCTGTCGCAGCTGTTTCTCGACTGAGAGATATTGAAATACCAGCAGAGGATCTCACCAGCGCCCGGACCAAACATAACCTTAGTCGCTGGATGCAAGTTAGACACTCACTGCATTTGTATTATTATTACAAGTAGTCAAAAACATGAAAAATATTTTTGTCTTAAAGCAAAGCATTTTTTTTCTTTTTACACACATCGTCTGTCTCCCACTAAGGCAGGGTGACCCATGAAAGTAGAAATACATTCACCATCATTCATTCAGTCACTGTCTTACCAGAAGTGTGCCAACTTCACAATTTGGACGACTTAGTATTTTCTTGGCCATAAGCTGAGGGGGGATATTTTCAGAGTAAAAATCATTTGTTTACCTGTATCATTGTTGGGGAAGCTATGGCAGGAGTTCCCAGCATGACATGTCACAGTATTTTCTTGGTAGTGGTAAACAGACACTAAAAATATCTACATGAATGATGACCAAGAAACTCGCCCTCAATATAGACAAAACCTACTACATGCTATTTGGAAAGAGAGCTTTAAATATCCATCTTAACATATTGATAAATGGTTTCCCCATTACAAGACATAGTGATGGCAAATTTTTAGGTGTTTACCTTGACTGCAACCTGAAATTCCATATCCACATCCAACACATAGCCAAGAAGGTCTCCAAAATGGTAGGCATCCTTTCCAAGATACGGTACTATGTACCCCAAATGACACTACTTACATACACTATACCACTCCCTTATCTACCCTTATCTCACCTATGGTATTTGTGTTTCAGGATCTGCTCTGGCTAATCGTACATGAAATAGTTGAATGGGCAGTTTTTTGTACTCAATAGAATGGAAGGCATACTAGCAAAATGGTTAAGAATTTGGTCAACTGGAATACTGTAATTGGTCTAAAATTGACTCAAATTTGGCAAAATTGCCAGTGCAGAAATATTGCTGACACAGCAAAATTCAAAAAAACATAATTCCATTAGTTTTCCATCAAATTTGGTACTTTTTGTTTCATTACCTCCAGAAAAAACATTCTCTACCATTTCATAAGAAAAAATAACTTTTTTTTTTTTTTTTTTTTTTTTTTTTTTTTTTTTTTTTTTTTTTTTAATTTCCAACCCTAAGAGCAAGTTTGAGAGCAGGGGGTTCCAACCTCAAAGAAATAAGAAAAGTAGCAGCTCATGGTACAGGAGGTAAAGTTCTAATATGGATTGAGGTATGGCTTACCAATAGAAAACAGAGAGTTTCCATTAATTGGGCCAAGTCTGAATGGGGACCAGTCACTAGTGGCATTCCACAAGGATCAGTTTTGGGCCCATTGTTGTCCATTATTTACGTTAATGTGATGAAGGAATTGCAGGTGACACGTATAAATTTCCTGATGATACAAAAATGAGCCGAATGATTGATCTGAGAAGTGGTAGATGAGGTTCAGTGTGGACAAGTCCTAGTCCTTTTGAATAAAAATAACACTTGAAGTTATAAACTAGGTGATGTAGAGCTTGATCATACAGAATGTAAAAAAGACTTGGGAGTCATGGTAAGTAGAAATCTGAAGCCAAAACAATGGTGCCAACGTGTGTGCAATAAGGCTAACAGATTACAGGTTGGCCGTCACTAATCCGGCATCATTGGGACCTGTAGGGTGCCGGATTAGTATTTTTTTTATTATTATCACTCTGGCCGATTCCCACCAAGGCAGGGTGGCCCGAAAAAGAAAAACTTTCACCATCATTCACTCCATCACTGTCTTGCCAGAAGGGTGCTTTACACTACAGTTTTTAAACTGCAACATTAACACCCCTCCTTCAGAATGCAGGCACTGTACTTCCCATCTCCAGGACTCAAGTCCGGCCTGCCGGTTTCCCTGAACCCCTTCATAAATGTTACTTTGCTCACACTCCAACAGCACGTCACGCATGCCTGCTGGAAGTCCAAGCCTCTCGCACACAAAACCTCCTTTACCCCCTCCCTCCAACCTTTCCTAGGCCGACCCTTACCCCGCCTTCCTTCCACTACAGACTGATACACTCTTGAAGTCACTCTGTTTCGCTCCATTCTCTCTACATGTCCGAACCACCTCAACAACCCTTCCTCAGCCCTCTGGACAACAGTTTTTGTAATCCCGCACCTCCTCCTAACTTCCAAACTATGAATTCTCTGCATTATATTCACACCGCACATTGCCTCAGACATGACATCTTCCACTGCCTCCAGCCTTCTCCCTCGCTGCAACATTCATCACATGCTTCACACCCATATAAGAGCGTTGGTAAAACTATAACTCTCATTTCATTCCCTCTTTGCCGTCAAGGACAAAGTTCTTTGTCTCCACGGACTCCTAAGTGCACCTCACCCCCTTTTCCCCTCATCAGTTCTATGATTCACCTCATCTTTCATAGACCCATCCGCTGACACGTCCACTCCCAAATATCTGGAATTCAATTTACCTCCTCATTACTCGCTCCTCTATATCTGATATCCAATCTTTCATCACCTAATCTTTTTGTTATCCTCATAACCTTACTCTTTCCTGTATTCACTTTTAATTTTCTTCTTTTGCACACCCTACCAAATTCATCCACCAATGCCATATTACAGAGTGGTTAGGTTAGAATACTCGTAACCCAACAGCGATATTTATGCATCAGCAATTTCCACCACTTTATGCCCTATTTTTGGTTCATTCCATTGTTCCAGTCTACCAAACTCACAGCTACTTTGCTAGTACAGTGATCCCTCGTTTTTTGTTAGCATCGAAAGTCATAATTTTCGAAAATCGTAACTTTTTTCGTCAAAACACTGACTCACCAAATCGTTTCGTTCGACTCGCCCCAAATCTGTGTTTGTCCCGGACGCATACACACGCCCCCAAGCGGGCAGCGGCAAGCGGCAACAGGAACCATTGGTCCTCTCTATTTTTACTTTACTGAGGTTCCGCAGCCTGCTGATGGCCTAATCAAGACCCACATAACACTAACATATGCGGATACCCAGAATGATATAAATCAACTTCAGATATCACCCAAAGTACACAAATTACCAACAATAGGACTCTATATTACCACCCTCCGCCCCGCTGCCGCTGAAGTGATTGCACCACCAACATTCACCCATTACCCATCGCCTACTATTCATCCGAAGCCGCAGTCCAAGGACAAGGGTCAGAGCATTAAAGAAGATCCAGTAACCAAAATAAGGACCCCTAACATCAAAGGTGAGTCCTCAGTAAATGTTACGAGGAAAAACTCTCATTCTGGCAGGCCAGGACACAACCCTCATCACCCACCGGCACCACCACAACACACGACAGACAAAACAATCATGGCCGCCACCCACACTCCATAGATAACTCCTTCCTTGGATGTGAGGTAAGTAGATTACCGACCAGAATAGCTAAAACTACTTACGATTCGAACCACCACAAATCACCCAAAAATAAACCCAGGAAATTGCAGGTACTAAGAGCTTCCAATGACAGTACCTCAGTATGATCACTGCCTCTAGAACATAAACTAGACACTCTGGAACAAACCAAAGCAAACACCCTCACCCAGTCCTTTTGACACCATTCAACACTCTAGAAAAGACCAATGTCACCCTACTTACTTACCACCATATATAGAGGAAAGAAAGATCAAGAGGTGGGCTACATATCTTGCCAATGTCTTCACAACTTCCAAGACCCATAATGACCAACAACAACTATCTGATGCTGTTGTAGTTTACAGCAAAACATCTCCCACCACAGTCAACCAAGAAACCTGCATGGTGGACCATACTACAGCTTTTCAGGACCACCTTCACCTTAACATACGTAGTGATGTCTCCTAAAAGATTGCAAAACTGATGGGCTACACAAGGCGGGTAAAAACTGGTGCTGTTAAAATTCCAAAGACAGCACTACAAAGAAACAACCTACTTAAAGACATCCGTTTCTATGAAAACTGATGTTTACGTCCAAGGATGGCCTTACCAAAACAGACAAAAACCTCCTCTTGTATCGGCTAAGAAAATTACGCTAATGCACAAAAATCCACCAATGCCTTGGTGAGGGATGGAAAAATTGCAGTTTGGAAACAGCCCATGGGAAAGAGTACTTCACTCTACACAACATGACTTAAACAGTCCTAAGTGAGGTGGATTAACGAATCAGGAGTTAAGGTGCAAGATAATACCCACTGTCCACATTAATGTTAATAATGCATAAATTTTGTTCCCCCCCCTAAATAATCTCCATACCCCAAATACTTGAATCTCACTGTTGTATTTAAGACCAATCTACTTTAGTCTTATTTGTGTTGTAATATCTACAGAAATCTATCTCCTATTTTACTTCTTACCACGTCATTGTTTCTATCTTATTTTAATTGTCAACTAACGATAGCTTGTCCTCAGTTTTTGTCTACCTCACTCTTTAAAAATACTCTATTGCCCAAGTTTTGTTCTATTTAAAATCTCTATTATGGCCCAATTTTTACTTTAAACTATATTGGACACCAAACTATTTGAAACTTTTTTTTATGCATATTTTTAGGTTATATTTTTGTGCACAACTTATTGTAACTTTTCTTCTTATTATTGCACTATTCTGTTTTGGAGTGAATTACCACTCTTATCACTTGCCCAGTTTATACCAATACTTTATTGCCTAAATCTTTTTAAACCGTTTTATTATTGCCCTTTTTATCTGTAAGGATTATCACCCAGTTTTATTATTTACTTTTTTATTTTTGCCCTATTTCTATTGTTAGACTTGTATCACCCAACTTTATCTAAACATAATCCAATTGTTCTCAACCTCAAGTAGGTGAAGAAGCCCAATATCTGTACTACTCCAGCAGATTCAATGTCACATAGAGGTGATCATAAAGAAAAGACCTGGTAAACACTCTCCTCCAATCTCTGTGGGCACCATAACTTGAAAAAAAAAACAGAATATTGTCCTAATTGTAAAACCTAATGAAACACCACTTGCATACCCACTGAACAGCGAACAAGATAAACGACTTCTCTCAACCATAGGATCTAATCTTGCAGTAAAATCCCACATTCCCAACGCCCATGCCAAGGACTTATCTGAAGGGAATT